AATCTTTAAAACCATAACATATGTAAGATAATGAGTAAGAGAGAGACAGACGATATATTTTCTCTCTCTTCCTCTCTCTAAAATAAAAAATGTTCGTTTTGTATATATATATTAATATTATATGTATTTAAATATTATACATATAATATAATATTTATTAATATTAATATTTATGTGATATGTTTTGTAGTATTTATTAAACGTTTATAATTATTTTAGGCTTTTGTATTTCAAAATAATCACTGTTTGACCGAGAACTGAGACTGAGAACTTGAAATTTTGAAATCCGTTATTGTCATGTCTAATTGACAAATCCTTTACGTGTTTGGTTCATACGCTGGGATTCGAATCCCAATATGAATTTCCTTTTTATTTTTGAAATATTTAAAAACCTTATGTTAATCTTATAAATATATGTATATATACCAAAAATGCTAAATTTTAAAATAAAATGAAAATTTACAACATAATCCGAGTTGTTGGTTTTTTATTTTTATCTTCGTAAAGTAAGTTATGTATTTGGCTGTTTTAAATACTTATGAATATTGTATTTTAATTTATATTGTATTATTATATTGAATTATGTTGCAGTTTATTTATTGTTTTGTAATTTTTATATTAATAACATAATAAACAATAAATTTTACTGCAGAGTATGTGTAAATTTTTTTTTAATTTAACTCCTTTTATACATATATGAGAATAAAAATATATATTTTCATTAAAATATTAATACAATCCTTCATTTACTATACTCCTATTACAAGTCAAATGATTGTATACAGCAAACAATGCACCATATACCTATATAACTAATTCTTTTTCTCTTTCAGCCCTCTTTTATCTAAGCATTACATACGTAATGATTGTGCAGATTGACTCCCATATAAATTTGTAACGGCAAACGCTTTTATAGAAGCATAACTTCTACCGGTAGTCCCATTGGACTGCCACACCCGTTTTTTTGTTAAGATATGTTGCGTGGAAACGAGAAGCAAAGACATTGTTTCTGAAGGGATTTTCCCTATTTGTTGAAAAGTTTGCAGCATATGCTAGGGTAAGATATTGTCTGTTTAATTTCAGAGGCATTTCTCCTACTAAACATAGCTACAAGTTATTACAATAACTACAAGTTATTTGTAGCAGTGGACAAAAAGCTCCTAAGGCTATTCCTAAAGCAGCTTTTTGGATTGTGGTTTGCAACTCTTTTAAAAGTTATTTACTGGTAGACTCAGACACTATTGAACCGTAATCGACTTAAGATCTCATATGGCTTTTATATACTATCAGGCAGTCGGTATAAAATCAGGCAACGCTCTTGAAAAATCTGCCCGGGGTGAGTGTATGGAAGGTATCCATAAGGGAAGTCTCGTGAGTCCGTACTTTTTTAAGTGTAACGTGACAGGCCAAAGTTATCTGGAAATGCTCGAATATTTATTTGGGCAAATGAATAACTATGCAACACTCGTGAAAATCCGTCATTTACGTAGGGTGAAGCTTCGCCGCATTACGAGGCATGTGTGCGGAAGTATCCTAATGTTTATTTTGGAGAATGTATAGAGAAGCTACTAAATATGACACAGACACTTAAGATTGGATGTTTCCTTCACAAGAGCAATTAGAATAATGGAAACAAAAGAAAAACTACAAGCAATTTGCAATACATATGATTAATTTGTAAAAAATTGCGTTGGGTAATATTATTCACCTGTTGAAAATATCACTATCGATGAGAGGTTAGCTAAAAACCAAAAATATTGTCTCTTAAGAGTTTTCGGATTTGAACAGTCACATATACCCTGGAATGCTGGATAGATGGTTTTAGGGTTGTTTTAGGCATGGTTAGACCTTTTATGGATCAGGTCATATAGGTACTACACATAAATTTTTTTAACTCGATTTCCTCAGCTAAAAAACTGCTAAGACGTCAACTTACAATTATGAAACTCTAAGGGCGAACAAAAAAGAGATTCCTGCTCCGAATTCTGAACACGATCAAAGTTACTCTATTTTTGAATTTTATAGTGATGCTACATTAGTGTCATAATATGTACATACAAAAACTATGAACATTACAAGTGCATCTGAATAATTTAGCCGCTTTTGAATTTTGGTGTTACAAAAGGATCCTATGAATATTATGGACTAAAAAAAATGTCTAATGTGGAAATACCACTTGGAGTGCATTTCTAATTAGCTCAGCTATTTATAGATTAAAAATTTTACGGTATATTTTTTTACACTTTACATTTATTAAAACGAATTGATGCATATAAGAGACAACATTTAAAAAATGTACTATTTGTACACTATAAAATTATATAAAAGAAGTAACAACAAAAATTTAAAGCGAAATAAGTTCTATTCTTGAATAATCAAATCAAATATTAAAGGTGAAAGTATATTACGGCGGAAATATATTGAAATATTAAAGAATCGCCAATTTCCTTTGAAAGCGTCGGTGCGAGGAAGCCGTTTGAAGCAAAAAGAATTTCAAAT